CAGATTGATAAATAGATCTTTGTTTTATTCAATGAATAAAACAGGCTATAACAAGTAAATATAGTTGACCTGAATAGATACTTTGTATTATTTACTACATGTTACAACAAGAAAAATTTAGCTTTATTCCTAACTTAACATTATATTAAAATAAGCAAGTGGTTCATTTATAATTACTACTTTCGTCATATTTACTCCTGGGTTCGAGTCTAGCGTACGAAATTGAGTATACGCACTGGCTGAAAACCCCATACTAGGACAAATTGCACTCCATGTCTCAATGGTGGTCTAGTTAAAATTAGTTCGTGATCTCAAAGAAAGAAAAAAATATAGATGGGGGAGGATATTCATCAATGTTCATGTCTCAAATCAAGATGTCATACTAAATCAACACGATGTGAGGAGATTAGCAAAAGTGAATGTTAAATTAGTTGAAATGATGACAGTAAACTAATAATGGAATGTTGAAGTCCAATCAATAATCATAGCATAATTAATAAAAATATTTCAGTATGCTTAATTCAATTTACAATGTTTACTGATAATATACTATAAAAGCATTCTAATTATTTTAAGGATTGATTCTATTTAATCAGACAAACAGAACATTAACACATGATATACTATATGCCAGAAGAAAACTGACGAATAACTTAAATAAAACGCATGCAAAAGGTTTGAATACTTAACATCGTAATTATGAAAATAACCACAGTCAAAGTTGCTGTTTTTTTTTTTCGAAATTTTTCATTGTACACATTACTAGAATAATATTGGTTTCTAGTGCAATGATCTACTTTTCATAGAATAAGCATCATATATTCTCGAATTTCCTTTTTAATTGGAAATTATTGTGATCACATTCAGTACATACGGAAAATTCAAATTTCTACAATGATTATTTATATAGAAAATATATGTCTATAGGAGGATAGAAAAGATTGCATCACAAAAATGGATTCAAGAATAAATAACAAATGAAGTAAGGAAGAAAATAATTTATAGGTCAGATAATAGTCCAATTGACAGATATGAAGAAAAGTTTGATGAGAAAAATTCTTTAATTATTTGTATTTATTTCCGTTTTGTTGATATTCACAATTTAATGTGATTAGTCTAGGTTAGGTTATAAGCTGCTTGACTGAATGACACAATTGTATTATCTAAAGTAATAGTATCTAGGATGTGTGCTTGTCTCAGTGTTAACTTTAACACTGAATATGAGTTCACATTTGAAGTGATAGTTATTCAACTTATGTTTTGATGTTGAGTGCACGTGAATCCAGGTGACGAACCTTGAATAAAACAAATAGAGGATAGTGAATTCTACGGTTAGTCACAATCTAAAATATAATCATTAACAATTCATTTTCAGAAAAAATCAACAACATTTTGAGCAGAATTGCAGGAATACATTTTATTTAATTGAATTAGTTCATAACCTCATTTCACTGTGTACTATTCGAATATGAACATTAGTGATAGGATATTATGTAATGTAAATTATAGTAAAGGTGGTAATCAGTAGAAGGCTAACGCAAGCATATAGCAACCGATTGTAGAGAAAATCATAGAGATCTACCAATAATTATTCTCATGAGTGTTAACAGCATTTTGATGATAACAGAAAAACTAGATATATTCAGTAGTTATTCAATCAAATCTGAGATAACTGGAATTGGGATTTACTCTTTTTTATAAACTTATACATATTAAGCACTACGGATAAGCAAAAGTGAGGAAGTTACATCGCTGTAACCAAAGAATTTTTTTTATGCTATCCGACTAATAGGTGAATGAATTAAACTAGGGATGTAGGTAAACTATTTATTTATCTAAACACATAAAAACTGGTAAAAGGAGAGACTAAATATATATGCGCCACACAAAACGTTCGATTTGTGTGAAGGGTGGAATACTGTCGATGTGCCAACAATGAAACAGATGGTTTTATTAGAGGATCACTACCTGAGCTATTGACCTAGAGGTCTAATCCACAAGGCAGTGAAATAACGTTGCGGGATGCAGTTTCATGGTAGCCGGTGACAAATAATAAGTTTATACCGCATTTGTTCCTCCAGGATCTTGAAACCCATGTGCACCATTGGTTTGGAATCAGGATTTTCAAACTCCGTTAGGTGGAACTTTCATATCCAATAACCCGGTTAAGTTGCCGGACATTCGATTTTCGTCCTTTCACTTTCGTAAAAAACACTCTCACTGAAAGAAGACAGTGAGTGGGACTTTCCTGACAGTGGCCGTATACATGTGGTCTTGTGAAAGCATTTCGACAGGGGGAGTTAGTTCTCCACACCCTTGGCCATATCAATGCACTTGGGGCATGTGGGTAAACGGTTAAATCCAACTACCGCTCAGCTTTAAGTTATATTTCATGATGTAGGAAGGATGAAAACTAAATGTTAGGAAACCGTTCCCGTGCTCGCAACACAACCCTCAGAGTAGTTAGTCAAGCGTTCAATCCTGGCCAACTTCGTTCAAACCGGTCACATGGTCAATGAGAAATCACTACTCATAGTCATTTATCATATTAGTAATTATCTGCTGAAATCCGTCAGGCTTAAAATGCTACAAATGCCAGAAGCAATAACTATTCGTATTAAATAATGTGCAACCGTTTTATTTCACTTCGTTAGCTTCAGACACGATAAATCAATATCCATCTTAGTCACATGATGACCTACTTTGACCCATGTACAGAAAAACTTACCATTTGTAGTGTCACAGCTTAAGTTTAGTTTCTTCAAACACTTGTTACCAATATTCACATCTTTAATTGTTATTATTAGTCGTGAAGACACATGAAGTATTTAATTAGTACTCATCCCTCTCGATTATTCCTTGCCTAATCCATATCATTCTGTGAATTCCTGAATCTTTAACCAACTATTCGATCTGATTTGCAGTTATATTATTTCCATCACCTTGTGTTATCTAAATTTATTCTGATTTTTAATTTCATAATTTCACTGCCGAAGTGTTTTTAACATATTGTAGTGTCTGTTATTATGTTAAGCCCAAATACCTTATATTCTAACTTTCGGACAGCCCATCCTATTCATTCTACTTGAGTCATATTTTAACCTTGTTAATTATCCGCTTATCAATCTTCACTGTTTTTATATGAGCGCGTGGGTGTGTGTACACTTATATATCCCATTACTCATCACAGGTTTGTAACTTAATTTTGTGTAACTATAAGTATTGATTAACGTTTGGTTAAAGGGGTGTTGGCTTACCCGCCAACTCCACTGCGCGTCGTTTCTCTTCTCTTTGTTCCGTTCGCTTCGTATACAAAATATGTATTCAAAAGTCCATCCTCGTTATTTGACTTATTTAATTCCGTTCTAGACTAACGCGATTTAATTCGATGATTATATACGAGGATAGGCGATAACAAACATTCATACAATCTATTTGGAGTCAGATCTCGGACTACACTAAAGTGGAGAGCCCTTCGACAACATTGTCCGATCTAAATGACGACAAAATAAAGGACCCCATAACATCAGTCAACATGGATGCAAGGACAAATGAAGACACACAGATCTACGAAGATAACCAATCACAAGCATGATCATTAGGATAAATTGATTAAGCGCTTGAATAGTTAACTTCTACAGAAAATTAATAGCCGATGATATTGTCGCGAACGACAAAATTAGCTTTGCAATTTAAACCATCTAAGTTGAAGAATACAACAACACCAAAAATATAATCTTTATGATAAGCAATAATACATGTGTAAAAAGTGTTATCAGTGCCTAAAAAAAATTCACAATAGAAGAGTGAATCAATAAAGAAAAGAAAGCAATAACGGAAGAATGAAGAATTCAAAAAGAAATTATTATACGGTCTTTGATAGTCACTTATTCACAAAAGGTTGTGTATGTGTATGAAAAAAAAGTAAGCGTGTAGATGGGATTACAGAAACAAATAACACAAAAGTGGCAAGAGGAAAAAAATATCACCGTTAAATAAAACTTGAAATACAACAACAACAAAAATACGGACATACCTCTATTATTAGAATTTCCTCTCATTTAGTTGGCTTTAAACTTAATCAAATGACCAAGATGTTTCTATGCATAAAAAAATATGGTGATTGAAATGAGTGGTAACCGGAATAAAGTTTTTCTTTCTTTTTAAAAATAAATAAATAAATAAAAATGAAAACAAATACAGAAAGAATGACTGAAAGGAAGTAGTAAAAAGTAAATAAATTCGGTTTTTTTTAATTTATGGAAGTCCTTATTATCTTTGTCATCATCATGATAAGTGTTCGTAATTTCAAAAGAAATAAGTATCTATTTTGTTGAAAATTTTGTACAAAAGTTATTGTCAACAAAAGTGTCATCGATAATTAGAGTGTGTAATACTCCATACACACACACACACCACATTATTAACAGTTACATCAACTACCTTATTTCGACCTACTACTACCACTGCTACTAGCACAGATACACAAACAGCATGATAATAATGATAAAAAATAATAAAGAATGAAAATACGTGGGTAGTTAATATCGACGAGAACAATAACAGAAAATAAAGAAAAGGGGTGAGAGGGAGGGAAATGCTCAAATTGTGTACAGTATAGTGAAGTTAATCTTCTGTCTTATATATATGTATTCTAACATGAAACAATAATTTTTTTTGCACGATGATAATTATGATGACACTTTATTTTAAAGGGATCCAATTAGAAAAAAAAGTGAAAATACAAAAACAAAACAAAACAAACAAACAAACTATAAAATGAATGTAAAAGAAAACAAAAGAAAAATTCACCAGTTGTTACGTAATAATAGTCTGGCGCATACCCAATAGAAAAAAAGTTTCTTTATGTAAAATAAATTTGATGAATTTATTTGATTTGTAAAAAAAGAGGGAAAAGTAGATCAAAAAAAGAGTCTTATCTTGAAAATATGTGTATTATGTATAGATATATGGGATTGTTTTTTTTTCTTCTCTATTTCTCATGAGTATTTCGATCGTTTAGCATATTTCGGAAGCACATTAGGTGAGTTTTGAGATTCAGCTGTTTTTATGAAAAAGTGAAAAATGAAAACTCCACTTCAGATAATTATCAATAAAAGTGACAGAATATAAAATATTTAAAAATAAATAAAACGTAATTAGATCCGAGTTTAATTTCTAACTATAATGAATTATGGACCTGATATATCAAAAATATTTTTCTCTCTTTGCAATATAATATGATAATAATAAGAATAGTTTGGGTGATGGAGTTTATAATACTGTTAAATTGGATACTCCAAAACGGTACACAATACAGAGACTAGATCATATTATATGAAATACATGACTCGTTATCACGAATAAAGAACCAAACTGAATGCTATACAATACTTCATTTCACCCAACTATAAGCGATCACTCCCAGTGAATATAAGAGTAGAATTCAATGAGAGGGAAGGAAGTCATATGTTTAATAGACAGTAAGCTGCGTGCTGTATGTTGACCCATCACGTTTACTTCTACTACCACATGTCACGGTGTGAATCTCATTTCATTCAACTTTAGAATTTAGACAATCAGTCAGTAACAACGTAGAACTTCGTACGTACGTATATCGGTTCTAGTTGATATACCACATTAGCACAGAGATGAAGCTGTTGATTCAAATCCCATAGTGGTAGAGGTAGTAAGAGTATAAGTAGTAATCGGGAGGATTAGGGTTCGAAGATGTTATTCAAGGAGTATAATCCAGTGAAATAAATTTGGAAAGGGAAAAAAAGACATGAAGAGTTCAGGAGATTAGAATTTGGGAGGACACAAGTAGTGGATGCACCTGCGCCATTGCAAACGACTTTGAGCCATGTCATTCAAGGTCTCCAACCATCGGTTGCTATCATCTCGCGGATTCAAACCAGGTAGTCTACACCTACCAATATGGCTCAGTCCAATTGTCAGTGACTTTATGGATTTGTGCCATGTTTTGGTCTGGTCGCCACTAACTTTCTTCCAACCTACTCCTACACCATAAAACAGCTAGCTAATGCGTATTATGTGAACGCTTTTAAAAAAAATATGATATAAAATTATATACTGTGCAAATGAATTAAATTATATATACTCAGCAAGATCACTGGATGATTTGTACAATTCGCCTTAGCAATTTTATTCTAATCTTATAAATAATATTAGTTAAAATGATTTAATGCAGTGTTTAAGATGGTTGACTGATTGTGCACAATTACATCTTTCAAAAGAAAATTACAGTGGAGTTCAACGATCACGATTCGCCTAGTTCCACTTGAACATTCTTTTATTGAAAGAGGATTATTAGCTGACGATTCCCAAGTGGGATGAAACTCATGTCTTATTTTCCACTACTAGCTATAATTCATCTATACTAAAGAATACATGAGCTAAAACACCGTTTTGTTGGATATTCTATAACAATTTTAAAATGATTTTGTTCCAGAGATTAATCAAGGATGAACATCGATATGACAGAGACTAATGACGGCCTTATTTATGCTTGTTATGTAAAAATTTTCACTGAGAAACACAACAGTTTGAATAAGTCTATGCATGTCTATATTGCTCAAGCATTGCCAACAGCAAATATATATATATATATATATATATATATATATATATATATATATATTGTAGAACTTTGAGAATAAGATTCTCTTGTTGAACTCTACTCTCTTTGTTTTCTACCTCCAATAAATACTTTCTGCTTTTGTTTATTTTATTTCGATGTCGGGTCATTTTTAGAAGATATTAATTATTAACTTCGTCTATTAAAATACTTTGACATTACCTTAATGATAAATCTTCTAAATAAACGCTTGATTCGGTTTCCTAAACTCTTTTAGTAACCTTCAGGCTAAATCTACGCGGTAACTTGAAAACGAGAGAAAAGGCGCGAAATGTGGAAAAAACGCTTTGCTCCAAAAGTTCCTTTATGTACAGAAAATCTAGGGTCTCTATAGCATTCTAGATGGCCTTGTGCTTTTGGAAAGTTTTGGAGTGTTACTAAAAATAGTAACAGGGTAGGCAATCATCCAATCAGAAGTGTGGCATGTGGCTTTTCACTTTCTAGATGTTTCTGGTAAAGTTCTATTGAATGCTGATTGGATAAGATGTTTCTCAAAGTTTTCAGGGCCCCTTTGGGCTTTTTTCGAGGACGTTTCTGAGTCTCTCCAATACTTGACGTCACACATTAAATTTTGATAACCGAAGACGGGTAATCAGGAAGATAGTAATAATAAAACCATAAGCCAATCTAAGCTCGACCACGACTAAAAACCTGAAAGCACTAAACGGCTTCTCACTAGAAATCTAGGTTTGCAATGATGGTCGAACTTAGATCGGCTGATGATTTTAGTAAAATCCAGCAATATTCACAATCTCAAACTGAAAGTACTACTATTTGACAAGTAGTAAGTGAAGTACCATATAGAATGAATTTTGTGAGTATCGATCGCTAAGGAAAAACAGTACATACATAAATAACCAGTGAACTAATCACCTATGCATACATAACAAGTTAAAGTACTTTCCACTTTATTATGAACACAGATTTATATTTTGAAGAAAATCAAAAAGCAAATAGTAGAGTGTCATTAACAACAGCTGGGGAAAAAAGAATAATAGCCGATAGGTTTCTTTTTTATTCAACTGCTTGTTTGTTTTTCTCTTTAAGTGATTCCATAAAAACTCATCCATATTTATGAATTTTAAAAGAACAATCCGTTCCAGCTGCTTACAACCTGCATCCGCATAATTGTAGTACTTGTGTTTTTTTAAAAGATTGACACGAATATATATATATATATATATATATATATATATATATATATATATATATATATATATATATATATATATATTAGTACCCTTTTTAGTTGATTTTAGGAATTTTTTGTAGTGATATGTCTATCGGCGGTCAAACGTAGAGAGTTACGGAGTTGGGAGTGAATGATCGAATTACTCAAATCTTCCCCAATTCAAGGGATCATAAATTCTCACCTTATTTATTAATTAAAATAAATGTGAAACATTTGTTTGTTCTTGGCAAACATTGTAATATCTACATCATTCAGGGTGAAGTTATGCCGTCATCTTTCTTAATGTAACTAACCATTTTTATTAAACATAACATAGTATTAGTGACAAATCCTTACTGTTAAAAAAATTGTGACAATAACATAATATGTTGCTTGCCATTAATGATCTATTTTGAAATTATTTCACCTATGGATTGGATATTTTGTAAAGATCTATTCATACATGCTTTGCACTATCCTATAACAAATATTCAGTTAAAATAATTCCTAAATCATATCTCTTCGAATAGTGCATATGCTTATTTGGTATTAAACCGACTACAGCTCGAAATTTACGGCGCATTTACCATAACTTTTGAAAAATATTATTATTATTACTATTATGGGACAGCTTTATCCCTAATTTACAGTACGATTTAGATAATTTATCATTAAATTTAAATAAGAAAGGGAACGTCCAGAGTGTAAAAATCATTAACTAATGCTACTAATAACGGGGAAATTTTTAAACACAATACAAAACAATAGAGAACATACATTCACAATATGCTGAAATCGTATCCATATTTATACATGATGATTGACTAACAAGTACAGGTTGAGTAATTAATGAATTCTGATTTTCAGCGTTTATATTAGATAATGACGATGATGATGGCATGGAAGTAGGCGTAGGAGGACTGTGACTAAGAGGAAATAAAGGAGGCTCTCGAGATGTTGGAGGAGCTGGTGACAATGATAAAACCTGATGTAATCCTAACCGGTAAAATATATTAGCAGGAGAAAAAGTATGCCAAAGTGGATGATGAGTATCTGGAGAATCTGTCGAGGAATTACCATTGTTATTATTATTATTTCGATGACCATCTAAACGACCTATAATTTAATACGAGAAAAAAAACAATAAAAAGGACTAGAATGAATGAAAACTTCCAAAAGAACGAGAATATAAAATTTTAAGGTTAAACAGTCAACGAATAATAAGCTTACAGAATCACTGAGTGAAAAATGTTGAGATAAGGGTAAGTAAAGGTAACGAATCAGCTGGCAAGGTTGTACATTCTCATCGGGTGAGGTGGTTATGCTATGTGTTAAGTATGCCTGACTATCACCTACCTTGTTAGGCAATGTTGGGTAGTGTAGATGTAAGTTAAAAGAAAGCTAAGGATGACTAAACTAAGTGAAAGCATCAGTCTAGAAAGTCACTGAATGTTGAACTAAACTATGTTGGTAAATGCAAACCGCTATTAATGGTCAGAGAAGTTGGACGAAGTAATTCACAATCGATCACAGCGATGCATTGATTCTTTACTTTTCTCTAGATCTTCAGTCCCAGTATTAATTTATCTATATATTGTTTCATTCCTAAATCTCGAACCATATTCTCAATGATTAGTCTTTCTCATTATCGTTTTTAGCGTGATTATTTCGACTCTTTCGACAATTATTTTGTTAATTTCATAGCGTTATGTTAATGTGGGGATGAAAACGTGGGCCAACGCACATTTGTGTCAGGATCTAAGTTGACTATGATTGACGACAACCGTTTCGTCCAAGTTTAAAGTTCCTTAGGAGTGGTGAGAAACTGCGAACTTGCATAAAACCGAATCTACTACATTTATATCTTGCAACATGCAAAATACCTTCAGATTACTTCATAGGACTTATGAAATAGCGTATTTCTAACTAAATTTCATTATCAGAGGATAACTATTTCATTCCTGATACATTTAAACTACACCAGACATGAATTTGTATTGGAACTTTGAGGATCCGCCTCGAAGCTAGTTGCAAATGAGCATATGGTTATAAACTAAGTATTTGAAGATCATTCAATTGGTACGTAGTTCCTAATAGCCAATAGACTTAAGATATCTAATACCTTATAGGTTTTCAATGGCACATAAATTGAAGTCATTGCGTAATGAAATTTGAACAATATTCACAAACTTATTCTAACGGTAAATTAATAATCAGTAAATCGGTACTGAACATTTAGAACCATTATTGATAAGATGGGGATTCAGTCAGAATAAAATGAACAGTAAGACTTTTTAGGATCAAATGTCTGATAATACAAGTTATGATGAAAGATTTCAACAGGTAATTCACTTATATTTATTGAGAAAAAACGTTAAAACAAAAAATGGCAAGACAAACATGATTCCCTACAACGCCAAAAGAAACCATCTTTATGAATGCTGGTAATGTAAATGATAATGGAATAAGGTAAATGAGAGACTATTTTTACAATCTCGCGAAGAAAATCTTTTAATCTGTTAAGTTTTATATTGTATTCTCCAATCTGTAATTGACTAGGGAATATATTAAGTATAAACTGGTAATTCGTAGCACTAATATATTTGATAAAGCTTACTTGATCTTACATCCAGTTTACATTAATCACACAAATTGTGTGGCTTAGAAAAGTTTTTCGGTGTTTCTAAACATGAAGTACAGTACTGACTACTCGTAGGTAACATTTACATTACTAGTTCAAATCTTTGGTTTTTCAACAAGTTGATTTCCTCTATAAATATGATGTAAATTGTTTGGAGTTTGGACCAATTTCCATCTAGAAATTAAGCGGGGAAATTAGTGTCAAAGTCCGCTTTGGCGTAATACTGTTGCTGCTTTAAAGGTTACAGTCTATTGAACGTTAAAAACGAGAAATTACGAAACCAGTCCTAATAAATTAATTCACACTGGACAAGTTAGTGGTTATTCCAACTCAGTAGCCCAATTGATAACGCAACGGCCATCTGAATTGAAAGACATTGGATTCAAGTCCAAATCTGAACATTAAAACCGACATTCAAGGATAGTCAACTAGTGAATATCAAGTACGGTGAAACACACGTCCTGAATTACATTCTACTAGCCCAACATATGAAATATGCTGAAACCATTCTCTTTTTCCATTTAAATGTAAACAAAAATTTCATAAAGAAATAAATCAAAGAAACAAATCAATCTACCAAGTTCATTGATCACTTCCGGTGTTGACAAAAAATATCCGTTTGGTATGCTAGTTTGTCGTAAAACTGTCGAACTACAAGTTGATGGTAATTTCAAATGTTTCAATGCTGGCATTCTTTTTTGACGTGACTGATTCTGTGACTGTTTTTGTTCTTTTTGCTGTGAATTTTCTTCTTCCATATTTAATTCATCACAGGAATTTTGTGTAACATTTTTGTTGCTGTCATTGTTATCATTACTATTACTAGTAGTAGTATTAGTAGTACTAGTACTAGTACTGTTTAGATGATTGACATGATTCATACAACTAACATCTGACTTTGTCACTGTTATAGTCTTACACAATAATGTTGACGGTATTGAAGCTGATGGTAGACAATCTAAATCAACAATATCAGGTAATGCTGTTTGAGTAGGTGCATCGATTTTCTGAATAATTACCATTGATTCCGATGATAAATTATAATTGGAATTCATACATTGTTGTGAAATAACATAATGTTTATTAGGGGGCACAGGTGTAGTAAGCGGACTATTAGTTGCAGCAGTGATGATAGGCTATGCAATCCATATATATGTAATAGAAAACAAATAGTGACATGAACATATTTAGGGTCGAGTATACAATGAAAAAAATAATTATTAAATAACTGAAGTTGTAATATCATTTATGTTAGAGGTAATTTCTGATATATATATATATATATATATATATATATCAGTATAGGGTTGTGGAGATTGAGACCGAAGGTCCCGGGTCCGAGTCCCGTGTGTGAGATCGTGGATGCTCACTGCTGAGAAGTCCCATACTAGAAAGTAAAGATCATCCAGTGCTTTTAGGTTTTCAATGGTAGTCTAGCATCGATCAGTTCATGATCTCAATACATCAATTTATACGGAATTATCTGGACAAAACGTTTATGGTTTAATTTAGACAATTAGTCAGTCAGTCAGCAACAATGTAGAACTCCGTACGTACGTACGTCAGTTCAAGTAGCAATACCATTAGCACAGAGACACAATTGTCGATTTAAATCCCATAGTGGTAGAGGCGTAGTGAACAAGAACACGAGTGGGGACAATCAAATGTAATTGAATACAAAATTACAGAACATGTCACTAAAATTTGAGAACAATACTTAATTTGCAAAATATCAATTGATTGTCTCAAACTTGACCGTTTCTTTTGCAAATATCAGTCCATTGTCTCAGATTTTATTGTTCCTGCATTTTCATACTAATCGCTTTCCGTTCCCGTTCTTTCCCTCTCGATCTTCTATTGAAATACGTTCTATTCCTCACTATCGTTATATACCACTTATGGGATATAAGTAGCTCACACCACAGAGGTAGTAAAAGTATAGACAGTAATCGGGAAGATTAGGGTTTGAAGATGTTATTCAAGGAGTATAATCCAGTGGTCTCTAATCATCGGTTGCTATCATCTTGCGGATTCCAACCAGGTAGTCTACACCTACCAATATGGCTCAGTCCAATTGTCAGTGACTTCATGGGTTTGTCATGTTTTGGTCTGGTCGCCCCTAACTTTCTTCCAACCTACTCCTACACCATAAAACATTGATCGTCGGGACAGTCAGTGGTTGGACATAGGTAACACATATCCCAGCCATCTCAACTGAAGTTTCACCACTTCATCAATTGATTCGCCTTTCTTACCTATTACCCATTTCTTAACAATTGCATTACTTACTCGGTGGCGGTAGGATATACGAGCAAATGATATTATTGCTGTAGTGAAGCGAATATAAACAAGTGTAACAATTAAGATTAATTCACGGATTTTAATTTTATAGCTAGTAGGTAACTACATCGTTGCAGTTTCATATTCTCATAAGTGTAAGCTTCCAGTGAACCTATTAAATATCGTTGTGTGTTCCACTTCTTCGACACTACGGAGTTCCTGAGAAGATTGTCAACATTATCCGGAACTCATACGACGGACTACAGTGCAAAGTAGTGCATGGAGGACAGCTGACAGATGCATTCCAAGTAAGAACCGGAGTCAGACAACACTGTCTACTCTCTCCCTTCCTGTTCCTTCTGGTGGTCGACTGGATTATGAAGACCTCGACATGTGAGGGAAAACACGGCATACAATGGACAGCTCAGAACCAATTAGACGATTTGGACTTCGCAGATGACCTAGCCCTCCTATCATATACACACGAACAAATGCAGATAAAGACAGCCAGCGTAGCAGCAGTCTCTGCATCAGTAGGCCTCAACGCACACAAAGGGAAAACTAAGGTCCTCAAACACAACACGGAGAACACTAATCCAATCACTTTTGATGGCGAAACTCTGGAAGATGTGGAATCCTTCACATACCTGGGAAGCATCGTCGATAAACAAGGAGGTTTAGATGCAGACGTCAAGGCGAGGATTGGCAAAGCAAGGGCCGCATTCCTTCAATTGAAGAACATATGGAACTCAAAACAACTTTCAACCAATATCAAAGTCAGAATCTTTAATACGAACGTCAAGACAGTTCTACTATACGGAGCTGAAACTTGGAGAACTACAACAACCACCATCAAGAAGGTACAGGTATTTATCAATAGCTGTCTACGCAAGATACTCAACATCCATTGGCCGGATAACATCAGCAACAGCCTTTTGTGGGAGAGAACCAACCAACTTCCAGCTGAAGAGGAAATTAGGAAAAGACGATGGAAATGGATAGGACATACATTGAGGAAATCATCAAACTGCATTACGAGACAAGCGCTAACTTGGAATCCTGAAGGGAAGCGGAAAAGAGGAAGGCCAAAGAACACATTACGTCGGGAAATAGAAGCGGATATGAAAAGGATGAATAAGAACTGGAAAGAGCTTGAAAGGATTGCCCAGGACAGGGTTGGATAGAGAATGCTGGTGAGCGGCCTATGTTTCTCGCGAGGAGTAACAGGCGTAAGTAAGTGAGTAAGTTCCACTATCCCGTAATTATATTAAACTAATCGTGTACCGTTTGCTTCGCTCTTTGTCATACATGACACAATTGTTCGTAAAGTATTTCATATTTGGAGTGTTTGTAGCCTGGTGGTTCACATATATAAACCAGTGAGTTTTTGGGATAGCTGCTGGGTAGTCGAAAACAATAATAAAAGCAGGGCTGCTGTTTTCTATTTTCGAACTTAAGGCTGGGGATCAACGGACCAGTAAAAGCGAAGCATACGTTAGCCTCAGCTCAGGGTTAAACTGTGATGGTTGGAACGTATCGTTGGTCAATTCCTTGGACAGTAGATTAAACACTGAATAGCATATGAGGGGTTGAAATATTATAATCGGGATTCTGATTAGCAAATCTAACAGATGGTATCGATTAACGTCTTAGGCACAACATGTACACGTAAGAACAAACCTCTAGAACAATTTTGAGCTTCACTTCCAAACTCAGTGATTCACCATTTGCTACTTAGTAGTTAGATGAAATTAGCCATTATTACTGTGGAACGTGAATGATATATAGTCTACACTTATTCATATTCAGCCAGAATATCCAAAACAAATTATTATTTGTGAAATTTATTAAATCAACGAGGTATGTAACTATGTTGTTATAATTTGAACTAAACACGAGTAATAGTAAACTGATAATAGCAATGACTAAACGAATTTTTCATGTAAATATTAGTAAAGTAACTAATCATAGTAATACGTTGGTTTGGGAAAATCGACCATTCCCTACATGGAGTACAACCAATCCTATTTGAACACTGACAATGGTAGCGATAAAATTATTGATTTACATGGAAAAAAGAACACACAAAGCTTACTACACAACTGAAATAATAACAGACGGGTCATGCTGACCATAATATGAAGCTATAGAAGCAAGATAAAATGGTAACGAAAAAACAAGAAATAATTTGCAGAACAGTAAAACAACTGAGAGAAAAGACTAGACAACTAATTTCTCACATTGATTGTTCAGTAGAAATCAAAGCTGATTTTACCTAGTAGTCCATAAGACATGGATAAATTATAATTCAACAACTGAATTGTATACAATCTATGTTTTCAACTAGAAATGTGTATGAAAAAGCGGTGAAAAGTCAGATAGTTTGGAAAATTGATTGATATTAAATTATTAGAAAGAGATGTTTGAGATCAAAGTCAATTTCGCGTTGTTGTTGAAATGTGGTTACAGTCACGAATAATATATATATATATATATATATATATATATATATATATATATATATATATATATATATATATATATATATATATATTTAAATGGAAAGAAATTATGCGTCTAGATGTATTGAGCACATATTTCGATAACACGTAAATTAATCGCTATTTATTCAATACTTATGGTCTTACACTCGAAATTTATTATTCGAAGTAGAGAAAAGAAATACCACAAACACTTTATTGTCAGCCACACATGGTGATAAACAAAATGGTTTCTAATTATAACATTCTTGTGGAAAATTGTTCACAATTGCACTTAGCTCGGTGATAAAGTGACTTGGTTAACGCTGATAACCGCACCGGTAAACGTTGATTTCATTAATAAACAATAAATATGAGTATATTCATTAAATACGTTTTAGCAGTTTATGTGACCCGCCTGACATATTATTTTTATGTGGTTACTTGATAAAGGTTTACTCACTTCTGATCTAGTTCATGATAATGATCGAATTCTATTGATCAAATTGCAAAGTGGTCACTACTCGATGTGACTCAACATAGTGTTGACAGCTGGTTGGGTTCGATCGGAATGAAACCCTACGCGTATGCTCAATCTTGAGGGAACTGATGTTCCCCATACGATCTGAACACACATTATTCAGTATTTATTTCCATCAAACTATTTTATATCGAAAATAAGAGAATGGAATGTAATCAAAAATACATAAAATCTTGGAATATTTTTGGTATTTTTTGAATTCTTTAAGCTCGATGGGCTAATTGTAGTTCCGGAAAACACCAACAGCGTTTATGTAACATAAGAGCGAGTTTATTCCACGAGTCTCAAATCCGTTTAATCTGGTAATTTTGTTTGTGATTTGTTGTCTTCATGGGTTTTATTATCGTTATTTGTCTTTGTATTCACGTTGACTATCTTGTTCCGTAGACCACTGAGCATATTGTTGATAAACGTTTTTTCAAATGGGTCGATAGATCAAGCATAATTCGGTGTATTGTTGATTGATATGAATTTCATGCTTCCAGAAATTTCTGAGGATTATGCCAATCATAACACTCTGACAATAGTGATGAATATTATGTGGGCGAAGGAGTGATTAAAAATTAAACCTAAAACAGTTATTACAAAATCGACAACTAGTTCATAAAAACGGTCTACATAAACTTAAAATTACTTACTTTATCTATATTAGTAATTGGATTTGTTGTGAAGTGATTGACAAGATTTTCGTATACACCACTTCTATAATCATCCATTTGTCCGTGTTGTTCACATGAATCAGAGTAGTTATGTCTATTACTTAAGTGTGGCAAATCTTGAGGTCCAAGTTTGACAGCTACTGTATATAAAGAATTCAACAGATAAATGATAAAACTGAGAACTGATGCGGAAACATTTTGGATTTATGGGGAAAGGAACAGATATTAAACATTTTTATATCTTTATTTATGGCGTTCGGAAGACTCTGGATTTTGTCAAGACCTTCACTAAAGAGAACTATATCATCTAATTCTGCAGATAGATAACCAATCCTTGAAAAGTAAGATGTTACTTCTAGGAGCATATTTATGAAGTTAGATAAAAACAAGACGTATGCAAATGTAGAAACACCACTAGATCTAAACAGATCAAACACGATCAACAGTTTTTGACTAAAGAGGCTTTAGTAGGTTAATATAATTTTTGACACACTTGTCAAGAGTTCTAGGTAGATAGAGTCCAATGTTTCTCTCTGAGAATCAAGGAATGTGTTTACGGATGTATATAAGCCACTTATTGTCGAGTAAAAGTGAAACATCGGTATAATGAGAAATTTATAGTCACAAAAATAAAGAAAGACGGATACAATGATAGTAGAGTTTGATTATCCTTTCGCTAGAGAAAAATGCAAAACGAAAAATAAGCAATATAGAAATGAAGCTTATGGAATCGGAAAAGTTTGACGTGGCGTTATAAAGATAGAACTCGTTAAATAAATAAATAAAACTTGTTTAAGAAATTAAAAAAAACTCGTACGTGTAAACAAATTTCAACTGTTAAGTAGTTTAGACGTTCAAACATCAGCTACGAATTCCTGGTTTCGAAACTCACTCAACCTACTTTAGTTTGGGTAACTAAGCAGTATCATTATATCGCATACTTAAATTGTAGCGTACATTCAAGTACCTAGTATATAAATAAATATTTTTAATCAACTTTCAATCATACTGTGGTGTGGGGTTACTTATATCCATACAAGTAGTATATGACAGTGGTCAGGCATAGAATGTATTTCTTATTTATTTATTTGAACACATAGATATTGGTACAAGAAGGCACCAAATACATATGCGCCACATAAATCTCATTTGATTTGTTAGAGGGCTGTGATACTGCCCGGGTGCCCAAACCGAAGCAGGAGAGAATGTATTTCAGTAGAAGATTGATGAGGAAAGAACGGGAACAGAATGCGATTGGTATGAAAATGCATGAACAATGAAATCTGAGACAACGGATTGATGTTTGAAACAGGAACAGTCAAGTTTGAGATGATGGATTAATATTTTGCAAATTAACAACTTACTATATGGTTCTGAGATTTTATTGAGATACTCTATAATTTCGTGTCAAATACATTCAATTATCCCCACTCTTGTTCTGTTCACTACAATACTTGTAAAGGCAGACAATACTGTTAACACAACAAACTTGTAGAATTATATAATGGCAAGCTTGGTTTAGTTGAATTTATAAATTAAAAGAAATGGTAGATATAGCTCTTAATTGTTTAATGAGTTATCTATGACAAAAGAAATCACTGATTAGAGTTCCTTTCCTTTAAAAGTAGATTATATGTTGAAATTTGAATAATTCATTATTCTTAAGTAAATTAATTTATATGAATAAACTGACTACTTTGATGATAAATACTCTAATCAATATTATGGAAAATAAAAAAGATATACACAAAATCTAGGTGTATGTGTAACGTTTTAATATTTCCAACTGAATTTTTTTTTTATTATTATTTAGTATTAACTTGATTATATCGACGTGACTATCATTTAAGTAACCAATAATAATCGGTAAGACAATGATAGCTACGTCATTAACAAATAATGTAAGTAATTCACGGGATTAGATTTAATACATATGTAATATTTGTATACTATGATGTAAATATATGACATGTGGATCAGTTGTGCAATACCATAAGAGAAATAAACAGACAAGTAGATAGATAGATGGATAGATAGACATATGTCAATAATTTCTTTGTGAAATCATAAAGAAGTTTGGCTGATGTATCAAAACAAGCATAAATAGACACTATATAATCATGAAAATGCAATACACGTATTCATATATAATATATACAACATATGCTTATGTATTCGTAACAGTAACACACTTAAGTATGTCTATTTACATAAATTGAATACAACTATGCTAATTGGAAAGTCAATCTTATTACCTATTTTAAATATATAGAAAAAAATAACTGAAATTAACATGTGATTTTAAAAATAGCACATTTTATTGAAAAATAAAAAAAAACTTTTTCTTTTGTTTATTCTTTATTATGAACATCTATCCATCTCTGTGTGTATGTTCAAAGAATTCTTTTTATTCAATTATGATCTAATGGATAATACATTTCTATCATGAAGAATTCTACCAATAATAAAACTACTGACTCTAAACAATGAAAGAAACAGCTTACGTAATTTACTTAATCATTCAATTTTTATAGTTATTAAAGTATAGGCTCGAAAATACAATGCAGTGATCAATAAACAAGAGTATGTAAATCAATAAGTGAATGTTGAGCTGAAATTTTTCATGGATAAATTCAAGATACACCGTATAGTTGACCATCTAACCAAGTGTAACTTAACTATACGTTTACTGATTATTACTGGTTGACAGGATGATATTTAATTTGTTTATAATGGTTGACGTTTTTTAGCAAGGTGGTTTTCTACAGGTTGGGGTTGCTGACTCCATGCCCAACCCTCCTGCTTTACCCTGACTTGGAACCGGCAGTAACTCTAGAAGAGATACAGACGGAGTTGACAGGATGATATATTTAGTTTATTTTGTCAGATAACTGCAGTCCTGAATAAACGTTGAACAGACAACAGTATATATATATATATATATATATATATATATATATATATATATATATATATATATATATATATATTTGAAATGACTAAGTTTGTGAATTGTACTGACTACAACCCGGAAAACAACCATAGCTATTCATAACCAGTGATCTTGATTACTTGGCTGATCAACTGATTGTATGACTGCAAAATATATAACATTACGTGACATTGGTAAAGAAACTATTTAATGAATAATTTGCACGAAATTGAATTAATTCTGTTGAGTAGTCAACTGTAAACAAGGAGATTATTATATCAATGTGGTATAGATTCAAAGATATGATTCAACGGTCAATTGTCCAGACCCTGAAGCTCCAACTGTAGGAGGCTACTTAAATAAAACTAACGCATAACTACCCAGAATTTTATATATCAAAACAGAATGCAGAGAGATGAAAAATCAATGAGATCCATAACATAGGAGAAGAGTAAGTATATAACCTCAATAGTAAACTAAACATAAGAGGTCAAATGCACAATGAAGTCAGATTGAAGGATGAGAAAGGACTAACGCAAAGTTTGATATAGTGGGCAAGGTCTTAATTGATTAAAGAATAAGAGCCGTAACAAAATTGACTTTATCAATCGCCTATGGGATTCAACCACATTTATTTCCCTGTTTCTTAATTATGTATGCTACAGTGGGGTCGAGACCAATCTTAGATGTTTTGGGAAAACTCAAGGATACAATTATACTAAAAATTAAACTAAATGAAACTGTATATCTAGGGTAGGTGACAGTTTTTATCATCAGGAGAAATCAACTGAAAAATGTCCACGAAATGACTACCGACATCTTCAAACACAAACTAGCAGTAAGAAGACGTGACGTGTTACCAATTATATCAGTAAACTCACACAACTACGAATATGAATTCAATTAGAAAAGCATCAAAATCATGGATCGAGAAAATTCGAAGAATGCTAGAGAGCTCCTAAAAATACGGTCTTCATGTCAATCTGTAACCAATAAACATATCAACATGGAACCAGTCTATGTGGAAAAGGCCAATGAACCATATGATCAAGAGAACCATGGTCAACAGAAAAAAACGTTCCACAGGAATACTAAGCAAAATGAAGTGGATTAAACCTATGATAACAGCCATTCATGGACAAGGTCATTAGCATAGTCCTATTTAAAATTTATGGATTACTAATTAAACAGTTCACTTCTACGTGAAACAAGAGTTGATGATAATGATGAGTAATAATGAAAATTTCGTAATAAAAAAATCTAGCTCAAAGGAACAATACAGTCGAAAATTAACATTCATCTACCTTTTACTTTCTGCTTCGATATTATGATGCAGCTGCGTGCTCATAGGATATTAGGCAATGACAATTAATGGTTTAATGAAGCTGTGAACCTCTATTGACTGATGTAGTTGGAACAGTGGCTTAGTGGTTGCGTCACTTACCCTCCAGTTATTAGGTCGCCTATTCTAACATATTCTGTAATTTTGTGTTTAAATACATTTGGTTGTACCTACCTGTGTTTTCGTTTATTAAAATAGTTTGTTATTGTGAATGCAGGAATATTTCAAATAAGTTTGCAACTGGAATAATGATTACAAACTTTCTAGTAGCTTCCTACAACCCATACAACTTCTACATTATTATTTGAACAATGGAGGAAAGAGAAATAGGAATAAGAACTTTATTCAAGGTAAGTTATGAGTAGAAAATAAAGTGTATTTAGTTTCTTGTGGACTTCATCTCATAGAAATTTTTGGAAACATACCAAATGTAGTATCGACATTAATTACCCAATTACAACGCAAGATATTATCCTTAATCTTTCCACGTATTTATGACTGAATGCTGATTAAATGAAAAATCCCCACACGTTTTTTGGGACATTATTATTAAAACATAAACATTGATACAAGGAGGCACCAAATATAAATGCGCCACACAAACCATTGGATCTGTGTGTTAACTGGGATACTCCCAGGTTCTCAAAACGAAGCAGGTGGTTTTCTTAGACGGCCAAATACCGAGTCTTTGATCTAGAGGTCTAATCAGCAAAACAGTGGAACAACGTTAGAAGATGCAGTCTCATGGCAGCTGGCGACCAACAATAGGTTCATACTCCATTTGTTCCCTCAGGACGCTGGAGCCCATGTGCACCATTAGTTCGGAATTAGGATTTTCCAACTCTCCTAGGTGGATCCTTTGAATCAGCTAACCCGGTTTGATCAGCGGACATTCGCTTTTCGTTCTCTCAATTTTACAGAAAGTAGGAATTCCCTGGCAATAGCTGTATATGCGTGACCATGTGGAAGCATTACGAGAGGGTGGGATAACTCTCTACATTGTTGCCCGTACCAGGGGATTTGGGGACTCTAGACCCCTATAGACTTTAAAGAACGACATTTTAACATTGCCCAACACATTTCATCTTGACTAAATACCGGATCTTCAAAATGTTTAGAAATGTATAACTGATGTTTTAAATATTTTAGCTGCTACACTTTTAGGTTGCAATTATTCTAATTATGAATTATATTTAGAAACTCTATACATTAAGGTTAAATCTCTCAATTTCGAATGGTTCCATTACACAGAGCGAAGATTTTAACCATAACATGTCAAGTAATTGTCAACTACTAGTGAACATTTTTAGCGAATTAACTGACACTTTATAATTAATGTTATTCACAAGACAATAAGAGATTAACTAATTAAAAATCAAAGTAATTTCTCTAAATGGATAAATAGAATCTTTAATTAATTCATTAATATACCTCACTAATATACTTATAAAAAGATAATCAGTTAATATGAATAAAATATACACCAATTATACTTTTTTTCAAACTATACACACTGTTAGTGTATAACATACAATAGTGAAAAATTGTTTCAATGTGTACATTCACAAAGTTGTTATATTTTAGAAGATCACAGGAATTAGTATTATCACTATTGTTGTTTGACTTTAAAACTAGAATTTGGAATTTTATATACAACATTAATAATAGAAATAAATAACATTCTTATTGTTTTTTTTATTTTTAGAAAAAACAAACAACAACACAGAACTCATTACATATTGATAAATTATTCAGTGGTCTATATTTATTGTGTTGAATAACTTATAAACTACAAATACCCTGGTACGGCCGAGAGTGGGGAGAGTCAGCTCTCCCTCTCGGAATGCACTCACATAGCCACGTGCATATAGCCTCTGCCAGGGAAGTCTTACTCACTGCCTTCTCGTGGCGGTGGTGTTGTTTACGAAATTGAGAGGACGAAAAGCGAATGTCCGGCGCTTTAACCGGGTTGGTGGATATGGAGAGTCCATCTAGGGGAGTTGGAAAATCCTGATTCCAAACCAATGGTGCACATGGGCTCCAGTATCCTGAAGGAACAAATGGCGTATGAACCAATCGTTGGTCACCGGCTACCATGGGACTGCATCTCCTTACGATGCTCCACTGCCTTGTGGATCAGACCTTCATGTCGAAGGCTCCGGGTGTGCCCCCTAAGAAAACCACCTGCTTCGGTTTGGGCACCCGGGCAGTATCACAGCCCTCACATAAATCAAATGAGATTTGTGTGGCGCATATGTATTTGGCGCCTTCTTGTACCAATATCTATGTGTTCAAATAAAATATAATAAGTACAGTCAGTTAGTCATAATCAATATAGCACATGACATAAATATAAATTAGTGTAAGTTTCTGAACCACTACACCAGTATAGGCAACATGATAATATTATCGATGGTAGTTCGAATAAAAGAGATTAAATAGAGTTCGAGAAAAAAGAATAAATTGGTGGAATAAAAAAATAAAATATTTACCATCAAAAACCTAGAGAAGAGATTAAGTAGATGAATTCACACTACAACCAACAATTAGCATTGAAAGTCCTACTGAACAATGGTTTATTTGTGGAAGAAAACCAGAAGCCAATGTATGTAGCCAAGACTCTTTCTATACAAATATCTCAGACTAACAGTCAATGATTTCATCTAAGTGTCATATCCTAGTCCATAAGCACTATTAACATTATTCTTAATTCCTCCTATTTTATTCGTCGTGATACTCTAACATGGACAGCTGTTGATAGTGAATGATGCGTGTTACAACGACCTCACTCCTTAAAGCCTGATAAACTCATTGTCCAGTTTAACTAATCTCATGACCAAATTACTAGTTGTAAGTTGTGTTGAATTTGCACAAGCAAGCAATCATTTAAGGTTGCATAATAGAAATGTACTACCACCTCTCAGTCAGTCATACGCAATGTAGAACCTGACACACATGGGTATCAATTCGAGTTATCACTCCACATTAGCACAGTGAGATGAAATTTTGAGAAAAGTCGCAAAGTAATAGAAGCAGTAACACCACCAGTAGTTGTAGAAAAAGATAAGGTGTAGAAAGAAAAAAAGCACGAAAAGATTTCGAGAGTCAGGTTCTAAGGGGACACAAAGTGGATGTGTCTGAGTCACTGGTAACGATTTTGAGACATTTAACTTAATGTCTCTAACCGTGAGTTATAATACTCGAACAGATACAAACCAGGTCGTCACGTTCTTTGTATGGATTCTGACTTCATTTTATTTAGGAAAAATTACTTATTTATTTTGGGTAGTTTGTACATGCATGTACTTTTACAAACATGAAACTAATAAAGAATTCAGAAGCAAAGGAAAGAAGTGTATTGGTATTTATTGGATATAGTCAGTCAAAAGCAGCGAAGAACCTAGCACTTGTGTGGATCAGTCTAAGTTGCCATAGTAAAGAATATCAAGCATAGAGGATATGACTTGAGAAGAACGATTTAATTCGAGGAATTGTAAGTAAAAATAACTTTTAAGGCAATGATTTACTCCGTCCGCTTGACCGAAATAAGTAGGTGAGGTTCGGACCTGCGAATTATTGGTTGGAAGTTGAACATCTTAACCACTAAGCCACCGCTTACAGTCATGTTTTAGCAGCTATATATATCACACTCAAAGAAGCAGTGACAAATCATTTTAGCTTCGGGGACGTTTGTACAAACCAATCACATGGATAAAATACAAATATCCATTATAATTAAAAAGATTTCAATGTATAAGGACTAACTCGAAATAGTCTAATGTCTATACAATACGTTTTTGATGCACATGTTTGTAGTAAGATGAGTAACTGAAATAATTCTAAAAACTTACGTTCAGGTTCCATATTCACTGAGGAGGTCAGATTTGTATTTAATACATTTTGATTAGAATGATTATTGGATACAACAGATGATAAAATAAATATAGGTTGGTCAACTTTTAAATCTTGAGTATACGGTGTTGGTGTTAATAATGTACACTGCATTTGACCTGTATTATTAATAGGAGAGTAATTTTCCGATGTATTTGAATTCATAACAGTTGTATGCGGGAAAGAATGATTTAACGATGTATTCATATAAGTATTATCGTCAACTAAATGTGTATCATTGAAATTTGCACAATCTACTGGTAATGTTATTTGATTATTAGATGAATGTTGAATAATGTAGGGCATAGAAGATTGTTTTGATACCAAAATATTATTTACGTGATCAGGAGCTGAAACAAAAAAAAGAACAACAGATACATTAGTATAAAACATTAACTGTGACTAATTTGCAAAATAAGCTTAATGAATAAAGGAAAAAGAAAGAACTTTATTTACGACTGATAGATCACTATGTAGTGACCAGAGTCATGTATATCAAGTCCTTTATCGTGTTAACCAAGTTATATCGATTAAGTTGCTATGTAACCAATAGTCGTCTATTGATATCACGTGCACTGTGTTGAGATCTAACATGATGGTTGACCGTAATCGACAGTAAACTGTGTACCGATAGAAGTTGATCAGCACTAAGGACTTGACATAAAAGAAATCGGTCACTACTCAGTGATCAATCAATTTTAGATACATCTCACTCCAAAAGCAGGTCAGCCACAGCTCGAATAGCTTTGTAGTAACGTCCGACTGCGAAGTTAGATGGTACGGAATGGAATCCGCTCGTGGGTACTAGTCCCCTTAAGATTACAGGCACACTTTACCGACGAGTGTCAATTATTATGGAACCCAAGTTCACGGTATCCTGTCGATTACTACCTCTCACCGCTTTAGAAAGGACTTCCAATAAACTTCAAGGCAATATCACAGTCGGTTAAGAATGGAAAATAATACTTGGGGTGTGAAGATTCATGGTAGGATAGTAGATTAAAAAGTTGAACTCACCATACTCCGTTATCCAACTTAATTTGGCCGATTAGATATTAGTATCTCTAGCAATTACCTAGTAAAGTGTAGATCCAAGTGCAGTAAAAGGACCATTTTCAGCTGTTTTTTGTTCTAAAATCTAAGTCTTTAGCTGTTACCACTGGCCCCCAAATGCCCTGGTATGGCCGAGAGCGGGGAGGGTTCGCCCTCCCTCTCGAAACACTCTCACATGGCCACGCGTAAACAGCCTCTGCCAGGGAAGTCCTACTCACTGCCTTCTCGTGGCGGGGGTGTTGTTTACGAAAATGAGAGGACGAAAAGCGAATGTCCGGCGCTTTAACCGGATCTCAAACCAATGGTGCATATGGGCTCCAGTATCCTGCGGGAACAAATGGCGTATGAACCAATCGTTGGTCACCGGCTACCATGGGACTGCATCTCCTCACGATGCTCCACTGCCTTGTGGACTAGACCTTTAGGTCAAAGGCTCGGGGTGTGGCCCCCTAAGAAAACCACCTGCTTCGGTTTGGGCACCCGAGCAGTATCTCAGCCCACACACTAAAACTATGCTGAACTATCTGCTTATAGAAAATATTCGTTTCTCTCCGACTAACATTGAAATGACTGGTATTATTATTATTATTATTATTATTATTATTATTATTATTTACTACGTCATTTATTCACTATCTCCTATTTCTACTTTTTGTATCCGTTTCGACTCAGACAGCAGCTCGCCTATGGTGAAAATTCAGCTTTATCTAAACGTTCCCGAGTCACTGCCTGGTTGAAAATTGTATGTTACTACCGAATATGAGTACTGAAGCAGTTTTTTCTGAAACCACGTGCACCATTCAAACTGGCTGCCTTCAACGTTCGCACACTTATGCAGGTCGGACAACAGATAAGGCTGGCTATGTCTTTGGAAAGTCTTAATATTGATGTGTGTTGTCTATCCGAGACCCGTATTCAAGACTCTGGTGAAGTACTACAAGTTCGCTCTCCATCTGTCGCTTCAAAAAGCTTGTTTTATGTGCGTTTATCCGGGGACCCTGTGGCATCTTCGTCTGGTCTTGCTGGCGTTGGTGTCGCACTAAGCGCAAGAGCTGAGGCAGCACTAGTCGACTGGATCCCCATTAACAGTCGGTTATGTGCTGTTAGATTAGAAAGTTCCATCAAAGTGAGAAGAAATCGGCGTGAGAAACGATGTCTTTTCGTCATCTCAGCCTATGCCCCGACAGATTGCAGCCCGGATGCAATCAAGGACGAGTTCTACCACCAGTTAACTGTTCTTCTCCAGAAAGTGCGTTCGACAGATATTGTAGTACTAGCTGGAGACTTGAATGCTCAGGTCGGGCGTCTAGGCACAGAAGAGAGTCGTTTAGGTGGCCGATGGGGACTCGTTGGTCGCAGGACAGATAACGGGGAACGTCTACTGCAACTATGCACAGACCACAACCTGTTTCTGGCTAGCACTAACTCTCGGCACAGTCATCGCCGATGTGCCACCTGGCGTCCCCCTTCTGCATCTCAAGCCTGGACTCAGATTGATCACATCGCGATCAGCTACCGCTGGCGCGGTTGTGTACAAGACTGCCGCTCCTTTTGGAGTACCTATCTGGAATCTGATCATGCTCTGGTCTGCGCCAATCTCACCTTACTTTTCAGTGGACAACGAAGTGACCGCCACCAAAGGATTGATGATAGCAAGCTGGCTGCAACTTCTGTTGCTAGTAAGTACCGAACCGAGCTAGCTTCTAGGCTAGCTACCATTCCACCGAAAAGTAGAGATGAGCATTGGTTGCAATTGCATGACGCCATGAAAATGGCGGGTACAGTCTGTTGTGGGTTCGCGAAACGTCCCGCTTACAAGCACTGGGTTTCTTCTGGTTCCTTACAACTGATTGAAGCCCGTCGGTCTACTCCGGGTGACCGTGAGTTTGACCACAGACGAAGGATTTTACGTAATGAAATCGGGCAAAGCTTGCGTAAGGACCGAGAAGCCTGGTGGTCGGAGCGTGCCAGTGAGCTGGAAGCAGCAGCTGCATCTGGTAATTACCGGAAGCTCTTCCAACTCATCCGAGCCACTGGCAGCAAGAAGTTTGGTGTGAGCGAAACAATCTGCGAGGATGACGGAACGCCAATCACTAACATCCATCGACGTCTTGGACGATGGGCAGAATTCTTTGAAGGGCAGTTCAACTGGCCTGTTGCTCCGGCAACATCGGTCAGACTGTCCTGCCCTCCATGGCCGGTGACGACTGATCCACCAAATGAGGCGGAAGTCCGCAAGGAACTCCAACTCTTGAAACGTTACAAATCACCGGGCCCAGACGACTTACCTCCGGCTCTTTTTAAAGATGGTGATGACTTTCTGAGTAAGGGACTGACGACGTTGTTTACAAAGATCTGGGAACTAGAGAGTGTACCAACGTCATGGAATGAGTCGATAGTTGTCCCTATCTTTAAAAAGGGTTCACGTCGTTCCTGTAACAACTATCGGGGGATAAGTCTACTTCCGATTGCGTCCAAGCTATTGGCTTCCGTCATACTTCGTAGGTTGTTCAGAACCCGAGAAGGAATGACTCGCGAGGAGCAGGCTGGGTTTCGTTCTGGTCGAGGATGTATTGATCATATCTTCACCCTCCGCCAAGTGTTAGAACACCGCCATACTTATCAAAGGCCAACAATCGTAGTGTTTCTTGACATCAGGGCTGCCTTCGATTCGTTGGACAGAACTGTTCTCTGGGATTGTCTATTGAAGAAGGGTGTGCCTGAGAAGTTTATTAACATCCTAAAAGCCCTATACACAAACACCTCAGGCAGAGTGAGGGCATACAACCACCTTTCTCCACTATTCCATTCGAGCAGTGGGGTTAGGCAGGGTTGCCCAATCTCACCATTCCTCTTCAACTTTGCCATCGATGACATTCTGGAAACAGCTCTGACGGATGTAAGTAATGGTGGTGTGGATCTGTTGCCTGGAGAAAGACTTCTCGACCTTGAGTATGCGGATGATATTGTCTTACTGTGCGAGAATGCCCAAGCTATGCAATCCGCACTTATTCAGTTGGCAATCAGTGTTCATAGGTATGGTCTGTGCTTTTGATCTTCGAAGTGCAAGGTACTTCTACAAGACTGGCAGGATTCTAATCCTGTACTCACTCTGGATGGTGAGCAGATTGAAGTAGTCGAGAAGTTCGTGTATCTAGGTAGCTGCATAAGTGCTGGTGGTGGTGTGAGTGATGAGATCAATGCTCGTATAGTAAAAGCCAGCGCGGCTTATGCCAATCTGGGCCACCTTTGGCGCCTTCGTGATGTTAGTCTGGCTGTAAAAGGTCGGATCTACAACGCGACGGTGAGAGCAATTTTGCTCTATGCTTGTGAAACCTGGCCTCTCCGAGTTGAGGATGTTAGACGACTCTCTGTGTTCGATCATCGTCGTCTCCGAAGGATTGCTGGCATCCAGTGGCAACACCATGTCAGTAATGCAGAGGTTCGGCATCGAGTGTTCGGTCACAGAGACGATAATGAAATTGGTGTCACCATCTTGAAACACCGACTTTGGTGGCTTGGACATGTTCTACGAATGTCGTCCCAGAGGATTCCACGTCGTGCATTATTTGCCGACTCTGGGACTGGTTGGAAAAAGGGGAGAGGTGGTCAGTATATGACATGGTGTCGTGGTATGAAAGAAAGCTGCAAAGGGCTGGCTTCTGTTGGTCCTTCACGACTCCCTGGTTGGGGTCCGAGAGACGGTGTAACGCAGTGGCTAGAGACGTTATCAGATATGGCTCAGAATAGAAGCCAGTGGCGATCGTGCTGTAACCTCCTTTTACTTTCTTCATAAAAAGTGGTTGTATCTTCCTTAACTGAAAGATCTCTTCTGAATGCACCTTTCCGTTTCCCCCACCATTGTTCTTTCTCTCTCTCTCTCCCTTTTTTTTATAATTCCCCACGTTCATTACTTTTTTTTTCTCTTTTCTCCTTCTCTTCAAATTATCATTGTTTTGTGTGGCGCATATATATTTGGTGCCCCCCTGTACCAATATTTATGTGTTCAAATAAATAAATAATATAAAAATAATAATAAAATTATATCCGTTTACTGTCAAACAGATTTCTAATTCTTAAATCCCGGACACATCTAGCAATGAAGGCAAGGCAAGTTTCTTAGTTTATGAGCTAACAGCCTACACCGGGATATAGATTTCCGTCATTAAGAAACCGTTAAATTGTTTTATATATAGTATAGTATAGTTTTGTATATAGTCTCTAGATGCATTAGTATAAGTTTGAGAATAAGCCTCCAAATATTAGCAAAACTATGAAGAAATATTATCGTATGAATTATGGTTACCATATTTATCATTAATTCAGGATAGGTTTTCGTGGAGATGGTAAAATTTTCATGGTTTAAATCAAGACCACTAATAAAAATCAGGAGCATTGGACAATTGCTTCGTCTTAGTATGGGACTCCTCGGAAACGCACATCCGCGACCTCACCACAAAAAAAGCATGACCGGTGGGGTTTAGCCATGTTGTGCATGAGATAGCCATCCACCACAAGGAATGCAAGATGGTGTCGTAATATTGTGAATCGATTGAAGTTAGACATGTATACCATTGGATGCCGGATGTTGAGTGTCCAAGCGCAAGACCGATGGTTCTGGGTTCGATTCTCTGTTTGGTTATGGATGCATACTCCTAAGGAGTCCCACACTAAGATGAAGCAGATACCAGTGCATCCTGGTTTTCAATGTTGATCTAATATCAAATAGTGATTTAAACTATGAAAATTATACCCAGATGTTGATTTTAAACCTTAGATTCTGTTGCAGAAAGGTTTCAATGTCGAGTTGGACATCAAACATGCACAAATATTTAGGATTCCGTTAAAAAACATCCCTGTTTTATAAAAAAAGACAAAAAATAGTCTGAACATGTCGTTTAAGTACAGAATTATTTTTACTTACGATGGCTAGTTGATTTTGGTAAATTAGTAAACAATGCCTGTGAAAAGAAAAAGTAAATAGAAACATCTGTGTAAAAAATTGTTTAATGAAACCAGTTATTAAAGTTTGAAGTTTGTTTATAAACTACAAGTGGGGTGTTAATGTTTACGCGGAAAAACCAAAACTTATTCTCCGATTTATAAAAGGTGTATTTTGACAGGGCAACTCAGATGATCAATGAATGAATAACACTGCACACAGAAGTAGCTAACGTTTTAATGGTCCATGATATCTGATACAGTAGCCCAATACTAGAAGTCAGAAAATGAAATGCCACGTTGTGACAATCAAGAATCTGCTTTATTTATTTGAACACATAGATATTGGTACAAGAAGGCGCCAAGTACATATGCGCCACACAAATCTCATTTGATTTATGTGAGGGCTGTGATACTGCCCGGGTGCCCAAACAGAAGCAGGTGGTTTTCTTAGGGGGCCACATCCCGAGCCTTCGACCTGAACGTCTGACCCACAAGGCAGTGGAGCATCGTAAGGAGATGCAGTCCCATGGTAGCCGGTGACCAACGATTGGTTCATACGCCATTTGTTCCCGCAGGATACTGGAGCCCATATGCACCATTGGTTTGAGATCCGGTTAAAGCGCCGGACATTCGCTTTTCGTCCTCTCATTTTCGTAAACAACACCCCCGCCACGAGAAGGCAGTGAGTAAGACTTCCCTGGCAGAGGCTATATACGCGTGGCCATGTGAGAGCATTTCGAGAGGGAGAGAGGACTCTCCACACTCTCGACCGTACCAGGGCATTCGGGGGCAGTCCCATGGTAGCCGGTTACCAACGATTGGTTCATACGCCATTTGTTCCTTCAGGATACTGGAGCCCATGTGCACCATTGGTTTGGAATCAGGATTTTCCAACTCCCCTAGATGGACTCTCCATATCCACCAACCCGGTTAAAGCGCCGGACATTCGCTTTTCGTCCTCTCAATTTCGTAAACAACACCACCGCCACGAGAAGGCAGTGAGTAAGACTTTCCTGGCAGAGGCTATATGCACGTGGCTATGTGAGTGCTTTCCGAGAGGGAGAGCGGACTCTCCCCACTCTCAGCTGTACCAGGGCATTTGGGGGCCAAGAATCTGCTAATGATAAATAGATGTTATTGATCAGGAAATAGATTCATTTCCTGAAGAGTATATATATATATATATATATATATCGTGCTCATGCATTTCATCTAGTTTACACTCAGTCATCTCACTGAGTGGCCGATCGGAGGACTTGCGCATAAGAATTTTGTATATCAGAATCCGTCTCGGTCGTAACAGTACCCTCGGATATTATTATCTGTAGGATACTAATGTGTTAGTAAATGACTTACTGTTCAGAGATTTAACCAAAGCTTTCAGTAAATAGAATATTTTCGAATGACAAGAACAAATTTCAAACTATGAACAAACATTCAATTTAAGCCCATTAAAATAGCGTTTCTAGAAGCTTAGCTTTGGAATTAGGACAAACAGTAATATAAATACAGGCGAAATCCCCACCGTAATTATAACTATTCAGTGACAACTTAAGAAAATTCCTTCCAATATTCGTCCATTTTTATCTGATTACGAATTGTTGGTGGCTAGAGGACAATGAATATATTATCCGAGTTAAGATTTATTATATTTTGGTTAACTTTAACTGTAATACAGATTGAAGTGCTACTATATTCCAGAGTAAGCATTCTGCTCACCTTCAAGGATGTAGCCACGATATCACTTAGGCTGGATAAAGCATTTAACATGGGATAAAAACGTTATACGCATTCTAGTATCTCAAGGAATTTAATGGTTAGTCAACTTGAAGAATGTCATAGCATATAATAATTCTTTAATATAAACAATTTCATTACGGGTAGCCTCTTATTAATAATAACCAATAATTCCATAAAAGTTGAACAAACTATGGAGATTCATCACAAACTTTTATTAAACTTCAGTAGGAAAACTTATGTCGAACTATTTGAATGTAAGAATTGATAACTAGCCCAGGATTTATCAATTGACTTTCAGTGTTTTAATGACGACAATGGGTTACATTTACCGTTGTAGCTTAAACTAAACAATTAAATGAGTCATAATTAAGTTTTGTCGACACATAAAATGAAAGTATATATCTTGAAATAATTAAACATTGAATTTTGTTTAAACGTGAATGATTCAATATGAAAATTAGTTAAAACATTGATAGTTGGAGTTAGACAATCCAAAATGACCAGTAAATTTAGTGATAATGTAATAGAGAAAATCCTGTTGATATTGATTGAACAGGTATGTCGATATTTTATAGTTCATTTAAATGGCAATCAGTTCAGAAAGGAAATCCCACAAATTATGATACCAAAGGCTTCAGTTAAAGACAAACTCTTTCCGTAATATTTATAAAATTACTATTCTGAATTATCACTTAACATTAATTAAGGTGTAGATTTGAGATATTAGAGAAAGGAATGGATAATTCAATACGTAATATATCGATATGAACACTTAAAGTGTCTTAATAACATTTTACACCTGCCTATCCTCATAGGCAAATTAAGTTGCAAATACAACCTTAAAGTTAACTGTTTTCGCACTCTAGTTAAGATATTTAAATTATTAAAGAAAAAAAAAGTTCAAACTAACTGAAGTTTTTAAATAGTAACTAATCACATCCAAGAGAACTCAAATTGTAGATACGCAAACATAAATGGCTATTTTGTGTGATCTAAGAACATTTATTTACTTAAACACATAAACATTCGTATAACGAGGCACCGAATATATATGCGCCACGCAAATCATTCGATTTGTGTGAGGTCTGAGATACTGCCCGGGTGCCTAAACCGAGAGAAATGGTTTTCCTAAGGAGACCCACTCGGAGCCTATGACCTAAAGGTCTAATCCACAAAACAGTAGAGCAACGTTAGGAGATGCAGTCTCATGATAACCGGTGACCAACAATAGATTCACACTCCATTTGTTCCCTTAGGATCCTGGAGCCCATGTGCACCATTGGTTTGGAATCAGGGTTTTTCAACTTCCCCAAGTGGACCCTCCGAACCTACCTACCCGGTTTAATCGCCAGACATTCGATTTTCTTTCTCTCAGTTTCGAAAACAACACCACCGCCACGAGAAGGCAGTGAGTAGGAATCCCCCAGCGGTGGCTGTATACGCATCGCCGTGTAGGAACATTTCGATAGGGAGAGTTAACTCTCCCCACCCTCGGTCGTACCAGGGCATTTGAGGGTAGCTTAAGAATACTATTCTTTTGTCTGGTTTAAAGTAGGTAGGGTGAATTTGAACCCATACCTCTAGTAGTACAATGAAGTCGAATGATTTGTAAAGCTGAACAAAAGTCCCAGCTAAAATTTAACATATAAAAACTGACCTACTTTTTATCAATATAAAAATATATAACAAAAATCGTCAAAGTTAAGATAAGGAAAAGGATGTACAAAATTTACTTTCAACTCGTAAGCACTCAATAAAAGATAAGGAAATGATGTTGATATAATGTTAGATAGTTATGCTTTTTATTTCTCAACAAGATTCAGGGGAGAAAAGTAAGTTCTACAGATACAAAATGTTCCTTATATTGATTTCCAGAAGTGTTAGTGATGTATTGAATGGTAAGCTTATGAAAAACATTTTCAGGAGATGGTTTTCTGTAAGCAGTAAGATCAGATAAGATAAAAGTTAGACCACCTACCTTTGAGTTTATAACACTATTATTACAGGTGAATGGAGAAACTGAGGAGGAGCAGAGACTTGGTTGGTGTGATGATCTGGGATAATGAATTAGTTGGGAATTAGAGGGGGAATTAGGTTTTGTAGTTGATATGTGAGAAACAAGAACAGGTTGGATATGAGGCAAATATTCATTTTCCACTGTGTTTAGTGATGAAATTAGTGAATTAGGTGGTAAACTCATTGAGCTTACCGGTCTCATATGAGTTTCTGTTACAGTATTTATTGAATTTCGAGGATGAATACCAAATGTAGACTGTGGTTCAACAACAAATCTCACATTTGATTGAATGTCAATTTGATCAAACTTCTGTTTATCATCGTCAGTTGGTTGACAAATTTGATCACAACCATTGTTATTGTTTATCTTTTTTATATTTGCAATCGAAGGTTGCTCCACATCATTCTCATCTTCATCATCGTCTTCATCATCTTCGTCAACACAGCCATCGTCCTCGTTGTCTTCGCTTTTCATATTTGAATAAGGCTGTGACGGGATAACACCGGATCCGCCATTACAATTCGATCTCATGCGGCGATTTGTTAACTGAAATAAAAATTGACAAAACACATAAAAAAGAGATATGAAGATCATCAATTATTAATCAGAAAGACAAATATATTCAATTAAATTTTAATTCAGTTAAGACATTATTCCATGTCAGTGAAACTACGCACACAGTTTTTAATAGTATTTCAGTGTTTATAGAAACTAAGTTGGTATTAAAATATTTATATTTATGTATACGACCCTTTTCGTCTGAAACTAAAGTGAATACGCTAGGAAGGAATTCATAATATTTCCAATATTACAATCTTCACTAGATAAATACAAGCTTTGGTAAAAGAATTCCAACGTGTATATGTAGCGTATAAGTATCACACACCGCAATACTAGTTGGAGACTAAAATACCTAGTAGGAAACATTGTATAGATTGAATTATTCTTTGAAACATAATCTAAACGATTCGTGTTTTTTAAACTGCCCATCAAAAATCACTTCTCCTGAACCAGAAAAACAAAATACTTTTAAAGCCTATGATCACTCCTTTCACCTAGTGGTAAGTATAGATAAACCATGTTACTAGCAATTTGATGGTCATATTCAATTGATAAGAACGTTTGCAATTGCCTGAACCTGGATAACATGTACGTTAACTTAAAAGAAGTAAACAATAGAATCAGAGTCTACTGTACTTGGTCAGAATAAGACAATCAAGTATTCATTCACGAAGGGATTTACTGAACAGGTAGCGGTGTAAGATATTAATATACTGACAAGATATATTTTTCCCCACATATTGAATAGAAATTTGGAAATGCTTACGAATTATACTAGATCTATTAAATGTACAAGTTTTTTAAAAGTGTTCAGCACTGGAAAGTGACAGAGTACGTTGATCACTTAGTCAAAATTTAGACATACGATCTGCAATCCGAATGGCTCATTGGCAATGAAACTGCTTGTTACACATTATGACGCCGGTTTGAATTAAACGGAAAGTACTAACCAAATCAATGCTGTAGAAACGATTTGTTTACAAGTAGAGAGGTGATTTGGTGGTTGACGCACTCAGCTTCTAATCGGTAGGTCATATTTCTAAATCTTATTCCACATGTTTCAGTTTAGGTAGCTGAGAAGCACTACAAACCTTTGAGCAAACAGGAGCTCAAATTCGAGTACATTAACATGTACATAGTACATGAACTACACTGATTAGCATGAGTGATATATATATATATATATATATATATATATATATATATATATATATATATAGCGATGATTAAGATGAGCGTAAAATGTCAAATAGTTTCTAAAGATAGGATGTACAGATATTTGAGTATGAGTTTAAGAACTGACATGGGGTGACAACTTCAAATGAGCAATCATGAAGTCTAATTACGACAGCAAACCACTCCGTGAAGATATGAACATAAACAGACTGAGGTGGTTAGTAATGTGCATTTTTATAACTTGCGTCTGTGAATATGGGTAAGATGGATTAATAGAAACTTTATAGTGGTTTGTAGAGGTAGACTAATTCATGACATAACAGACTATTGATCTGATCGGTGTTGGGAGAAACATCCCGATCAGTGTCTATTAAATACTGAATTAAGGTAGCAGACCATAAGCTATTAAAATTACAGATATTCACATAACTGTTTTTCAGATATTCAAAGCCAAACCACTCTCCTAATATTTGTTTTCATCCATTCATCTTTTCCTTCCAGACATTTAAATAACTCGTTTTTTTGTGAATGTACGTACCGATAGGAAATTGAACAAAAGAAATATTATACAAGGTTTTGTATGAGTGAAAACGGCCTATTCCTTAATTTTGTCCGATGTTATGTGTATTCGCCCCCAAATGCCCTGGTATGGCCGAGAGCGGGGAGGGTTCGCCCTCCCTCTCGAAATACTCTCACACGGCCACGCGTAAACAGCCTCTGCCAGGGAAGTCCTACTCACTGCCTTCTCGTGGCGGGGGTGTTGTTTACGAAAATGAGAGGACGAAAAGCGAATGTCCGGCGCTTTAACCGGATCTCAAACCAATGGTGCATATGGGCTCCAGTATCCTGCGGGAACAAATGGCGTATGAACCAATCGTTGGTCACCGGCTACCATGGGACTGCATCTCCTCACGATGCTCCACTGCCTTGTGGACTAGACCTTTAGGTCAAAGGCTCGGGGTGTGGCCCCCTAAGAAAACCACCTGCTTCGGTTTGGGCACCCGAGCAGTATCTCAGCCCACACACTAAAACTATGCTGAACTATCTGCTTATAGAAAATATTCGTTTCTCTCCGACTAACATTGAAATGACTGGTATTATTATTATTATTATTATTATTATTATTATTATTATTATTATTTACTACGTCATTTATTCACTATCTCCTATTTCTACTTTTTGTATCCGTTTCGACTCAGACATCAGCTCGCCTATGGTGAAAATTCAGCTTTATCTAAACGTTCTTCACGTTGTTCCTGTAACAACTATCGGGGGATAAGTCTACTTCCGATTGCGTCCAAGCTATTGGCTTCCGTCATACTTCGTAGGTTGTTCAGAACCCGAGAAGGAATGACTCGCGAGGAGCAGGCTGGGTTTCGTTCTGGTCGAGGATGTATTGATCATATCTTCACCCTCCGCCAAGTGTTAGAACACCGCCATACTTATCAAAGGCCAACAATCGTAGTGTTTCTTGACATCAGGGCTGCCTTCGATTCGTTGGACAGAACTGTTCTCTGGGATTGTCTATTGAAGAAGGGTGTGCCTGAGAAGTTTATTAACATCCTAAAAGCCCTATACACAAACACCTCAGGCAGAGTGAGGGCATACAACCACCTTTCTCCACTATTCCATTCGAGCAGTGGGGTTAGGCAGGGTTGCCCAATCTCACCATTCCTCTTCAACTTTGCCATCGATGACATTCTGGAAACAGCTCTGACGGATGTAAGTAATGGTGGTGTGGATCTGTTGCCTGGAGAAAGACTTCTCGACCTTGAGTATGCGGATGATATTGTCTTACTGTGCGAGAATGCCCAAGCCATGCAATCCGCACTTAATCAGTTGGCAATCAGTGTCCGTAGGTATGGTATGTGCTTTGCACCTTCGAAGTGCAAAGTTCTTCTACAAGACTGGCAGGATTCTAATCCTGTACTCACTCTGGATGGTGAGCAGATTGAAGTAGTCGAGAAGTTCGTGTATCTAGGTAGCTGCATAAGTGCTGGTGGTGGTGTGAGTGATGAGATCAATGCACGTATAGTGAAAGCCAGAGCGGCTTATGCTAATCTGGGCCATCTTTGGCGCCTTCGTGATGTTAGTCTGGCTGTAAAAGGTCGGATCTACAACGCGACGGTGAGAGCAGTTTTGCTCTATGCTTGTGAAACCTGGCCTCTCCGAGTTGAGGATGTTAGACGACTCTCTGTGTTCGATCATCGCTGTCTCCGAAGGATTGCTGGTATCCAGTGGCAACACTATGTCAGTAATGCAGAGGTTCGGCATCGAGTGTTCGGTCACAGAGACGATAATGAAATTGGTGTCACCATCTTGAAACACCGACTTCGGTGGCTTGGACATGTTCTACGAATGTCGTCCCAGAGGATTCCACGTCGTGCATTATTTGCCGACTCTGGGACTGGTTGGAAAAAGCGGAGAGGTGGTCAGTATATGAGATGGTGTCGTGGTATGAAAGAAAGCTGCAAAGGGCTAGCTTCTGTTGGTCCTTCACGACTCCCTGGTTGGGGTCCGAGAGACGGTGTAACGCAGTGGCTAGAGACGTTATCAGATATGGCTCAGAATAGAAGCCAGTGGCGATCGTGCTGTAACCTTCTTTTACTTTCTTCATAAAAAGTGGTTGTATCTTCCTTAACTGAAAGATCTCTTCTGATTGCACCTTTCCGTTTCCCCCACCATTGTTCTCTCTCTCCCTTTTTTTTATAATTCCCCACGTTCATTACTTTTTTTTCCCTTTTCTCCTTCTCTTCAAATTATCATTGTTTTGTGTGGCGCATATATATTTGGTGCCCCCCTGTACCAATATTTATGTGTTCAAATAAATAATAATAAATAAATGTGTATTCACAAAAAAATTCAGTAAGAACTATGAAACATATGTTCAACATCTGCTGATTGTCCCATAACTTTCTATATGTATTCGATCTAAGAGCTAAGTTAGACACTGTAGAAAAACAAATGGTCGAGGAGATATAAGGTGCAAAATATACAGCTGATAGTAACCATAAAGTCTATTCACTTACTTACCCTTTCCATATCAGAATTACTAAGGAATTCATTTGCACGATGGTGTTTCTTTAATCTTTGTAAAGCATGCTCTACCGTAACACTAGCATACTGATAGAGGCGATTGCTGCGTGTGAATACTAGTAAAGCAATTTCGCATTCACACAATACGCTTAACTCGTACGCCTTTTTAAATAGACCACTTTTACGCTTTGCAAATGTGACCTATCATATAAGAAATAATAGGTTTAGTTATGTAGATTAATTTACCAGTCGATTCTTTTCATCTTTGATAAATTTTATCTCGATTTTTTTACGTCCCATTTCCTAGAAGGAAAAAAAAGTTGAAATCAGTTAGCGTTGAATGAATTGGGGAGTTTCTGAATCCTCCAAACTTATAAGAAAATCAGGATGACGACTGCAGTTATGAACTTTCCAAAATTCAACAGTGTATTGCAAAAAGAATTAGATTTGGAGAATTTACACGAGCGTGAACTTTCATGTGTTACCAGCCAGGAACTATTTGGTAATATTTTTCAAGTGTGCCAACTGAAACAGTGCTTTGTAGTTTAAAAGTATGTATTAAGACGTATATGCAATCTTTAAAATTAAGTTCTCTTGAGAACTCAAAGCCATATCATTAAGGACTAACTATCTAATTAAACTGTATTAAGATATACAGATTGCTAAAATTTAGCAACTATGAGTCAAAAATAAACTTTATTCTCAAACGGTACCGTTGCATTGGATGTATATGAATTGCCCCCAAATGCCCTGGTACGGCCGAGAGTGGGGAGAGTCCGCTCTCCCTCTCGAAATTCTCTCACATGGCCACGCGTATATAGCCTCTGCCAGGGAAGTCCTACTCACTGCCTTCTCGTGGCGGGGGTGTTGTTTACAAATATGAGAGGACGAAAAGCGAATGTCCGGCGCTTTAACCGGACCCCAAACCAATGGTGCATATGGGCTCCAGTATCCTGCGGGAACAAATGGCGTATGAACCAATCGTTGGTCACCGGCTACCATGGGACTGCATCTCCTCACGATGCTCCACTGCCTTGTGGGTCAGACGTTCAGGTCGAAGGCTCGGGGTGTGGCCCCCTAAGAAAACCACCTGCTTCGGTTTGGGCACCCGAGCAGTATCATAGCCCTCACACAAATCAATTGAGATTTGTGTGGCGCATATGTATTTGGTGCCTCCCTGTACCTATACTTATGTGTTAAAATAAAAATATAATAAATGTATATGAATTACATAATTTTACTGTTCATAGCTACTTCATAGTGTCTTAAAGGTAGTAGGTTGGTCCGGGTGGTTGGTGTATTTAATTATTACCGAACTCATGTTGAAGTCAGGTTAGCTATGTTTTTACGTGAACAAAATCAAACTGAGCAGATTCGAAACCGTCTTACTTATATGGAAGATACAGTCAACCCCTAGATACGGAAGGACAGCAAACTGTCAGATGTCCAGGGGTTCACAGAACCGCATATAAATCTATTTATGAAATCTCAAAGCTGAGATATGATAGATCAACCAAACTAAAAATATTCCTCTTATCATACAGAGGAGCCGGAGGTTACTTAATGAATCTTTAAACTATTTACTGATGATTTTCCATCAAACATGCTTTCAATTTTTTTTAAATTTCAAAAAGTCGAATTACCCAGGAGACTAAAAACACTCAATTCCAAAACCAGTTATTTTTCGGGTAACTACCGACTTTTCCATAGAATCATCAACAAGTGGGAATGGTTATATCATGTGGTCGGAGCTCGATGCCTAAAGATTAGGCTTAACAATCAGGTCTTAACTGACTGGATAATGAGTAACCTATAAGTGAATTTACTTTGGTCGCCTATAACATTTTATCATGTTTATCTTGTGTTTATATTCCGTATATAAATAACCATGTTATTTTGCTACATGAGGAGTTCCTGATCTGGCTAGTGGTCTTGCAATTGATGTCTAATCATTTGGGGGCCCAGGTCAATCATACGGTTTCGTGAAAAGCCATCACTCGGTCACATTATATCACTGCAGTTCATTTGTTGACTGGTATTCTATTTCTCAATTTTAACAATCGAAATTCCGCCTCATGCAGAAAAACACTTCATAACAGATCCTGCTGATACACATTAAAGAACAACTGAAACTTTCATCGCCAAGACTAACACAGACCTTCCAGCTTTCTGTCTATCCTCCCTTTTCTAGACTTTATCTGAAATACTCTTAAATGTCTGGGTTCGAGTTTTAGTGTGAACACTAACATTGGGGTGCGGGCAGATCCATGTAACAAGTTCAAAGTGACATGGAGCACGCCCCTTGAAATTCAATGCTAACTACCATTCGATTTTAATAGTATGGGTGAGTGTTAAAGATCCTATTGCATATACTGAATGATAGTAATGTATAATTAATGAACGCGATCAGTTATTTGAAATAGTATACATCTATGCTAACCGAAATATATCAGTAGACAAACGCTGGCAGCAACCTAATGTAGATGGGTTTTTAAAATGATAAATGCATTAATTTCAAGGTTAGCAACAACTTCTATGTGATGACTACTTGAGCATAATAAATACTAGAGGTTTATGACAATGGAATAAACATGTCATTACCAGGCAATATTTTTAATTGGGAACTGGAATCGGTTAATGTAAGGTTGACAAATAGAAAATAATAGCTAAGTCATAAGGTGAGTTGTAACATACATTCAGACGCAACATACTTCATAGACGAGGTTGCTAACTCGCACAGTTAACCAAATCAGTAGAACATGAGATACTCAATTTTAGGAAAGGCAAACTGTTCCTTTCATTGGCGGCCACAGCCGCACAAGTAATCACGCCCACAAGTCAGACGCATATACTACGGAACAAACAGATTGATATTGAGGATTGGAATGCTGAATGTTCTATCCTAGTATTTCAATTTGACTTACTGATTTATTTCACCGATGAACGAATGAGTCGTCATAATAGAGCCGGGTGACTTAAATCTTTATACTAATAAGTGCATGACGTAAGATGCCTTTTGTTTGGTCCTTAATAGTAACAAATAGAACACCAACTTACTGAGGCAAAAATTCCCTAAGGTCACACACACCCGCTTCGAACAGAGCACAGAAACTCAGTCACCTTGAAAACTGATTCGAACAAAGCAATGATTTGTCATTACCCGCTTTTTCTCTAAAAGAGTAGTGATGTTAATAAGTTCGGTTTCTGTTTTAGCGCAACTAGCAAATTGTCTGTGTTTTCACTGCTCGAAAAATTTTATGCAATTGATTTGATATTCTCTAAATTTAAAAAGGTTAACGATCATGAACGATTTTTTTAATCAGGAAACAATCATTTTGAACGTTATGAGAGAGGAAGGTTTTGCCTTGCAGCCGACCTTTTAATGTAACTGCGATAAGTCTTATAACATCCAATTACAAATTATTTGAATTGTTTGGGCTGCCATCTCCATGTTGTTGAATGAGCCCTTACGTAATCTAAATGCTGGATGGTTTTCGGGCACTTAACTTTACTGAAATAGCATGAAATATAGGATTAGTCATGAAACATCATGCGGTTGTCTCGTTCTTCTTCATAATGTACGGCCAGTAAAATGTCACTGAGTCCTAGCTAAATCATCCGATCAAAGACAACCGACGAGCATAAGTTTACTTCACGCCACAGGCTGGCCCATGCATTGGTGGTCACACTTCGTTACTTGTACCTACTCCGTAATAACGTTGTTCGTGTTTTTTGGTCATCAATGTAGCCATAGTGTGTAAAGATGACGAACGAGTAATCCGCTTTAGTTACTGACCGCGGGCTGTGACTTCGATGTTAGCTGGTTGGTCACACCACGGCCGTCTGACTCGAGTAGGTCCTCGGTTGTCTAAGTTGGTGATCTACAATAGGCCAGAAACAGTATTTCTACTCGTTGGCACTGATTTTTATGTGTTTTCGACAAGACGGAACTACAAGAATCAGTGTGGAAGATTCGGTGACGATTATACGAATTCTTGGTTCGTTCTTCCCGTAAAATAACCTATCGCTTATGAATGGCTCATAGTGCAAGGATTAGGATTTAGGACTTGTAATCAGGTTTTTAATAGAGTTTCCATCACGGCCTAACATCAACGATGATATTTAGGGCTACGAATTACTTCTGCATTTCATCTGATGTCTTTTAGGGAACAAAAGGTGTAAATGTTAATCCTAACAGTGTTTGTTCATAATAATTAATGAAGAATTTTTAACATCACCTTAGAAATCTCTCGTGATAGTCTGTAAGTTATGAAGCAAACGCTAAGTTTGTTTTCAGAATCTAAATAATCATGGTACAATCAGTGAGCAACAAATTTCCTCTTCGCAACTTATGGATTATGGTCCTCAATTCGCTCATACGATATTCATTGGGTCACTTTTATAGCTCAATTTTATCAGCTTCTTCCTAATGCAAACCTTTTCAGATGTACTTTTCATTGCTTGTTTCCGAAGAATAGCTTCTATTTTCAGCAGATGTAACTAGTAGCTTTCTGTATGGTTTTATGCTCGCAAAGTTAATTCCCAACTGTTATTAAGAAGAATTAGATGAATTTAATAGTCTGCTACCTTTAAACCGAGCGAAGCATTTGTACAACGACCAATCTTCAAGTATTTCATTTGAATGTAGAAGACCGTGCAACAAATTACTGCGTTCCTCTATGTGTTGCACTAAGCTTTTAGGGCAACTCGCAATCAACGACCAAATACAAATATAATTCTTTGGCTCGATTTATGTGGCAACTTGTCACAAAATCAAATATTTTTTCAGTTTCAGTGATACAAAATAACGGGCTACACAGAGAAAAGGAGCTTTTGCCGCGTCTTTCAAAGAAGACACTGATAAATCCATCAATTTGTATTGTGTCCCATGGTGTATAAGCTTTTGATATACTTATTGAAGTTGGTTTTTCATTTACATTAAAATGGAAATTCTAAGTTTTTGCATTCATTGTCTGTTACTTATAAAGCTTTAAAACCACTCGTTCTGGAAATCTGTTTTCCTGTTTTTGAGTGTGTGTTGTTCTCTCTATGCGCTTGTAAAATTACGATCTACTTCGATAGTAGCACATTTATCATTGTTACTTTTATGATAGGCGTAATCTCTAAATTGTAGACTGGTTATGAAGTGAAAACCTAATCGATAAGATCTTACGCGAAAGTCATATCATTATTTACACTGACTCATTCTATTCTAAGAATCAGCAATATAACGTCTCACTATTTCAAGAATACACTTGTGCTGGGTAGGGAATGATATATCTAATACAAACTAAAATAAGCTTTACATAGAGTGATCACGACTTCATTGCCAAGCCATGGCATTGTTCCCACGTGACAACTTCAATAAGTGATATCACAGTGTGTGCACCAGATTTATACCGACTGCGTATAAAACGTGTTTCATGCCATGTTGGCTGTGCACAACAATGTCTCCTGATTCTTCAGGCGATTGAGTTGATTAAACATGGCAAGAAAAATGCTTTCAGATAAATAGCCAGTGACAGGCGAGCTGCTGTCAGATTTCGAGGAATCAGCGAGTGTTACATGAGTCCACCTGTTGATCTTAACGAAACCACCAAGGTGGACCCCATAATTTAGCGGATGACGAATACATAGATGTAGGCATAGTTACAAGGAAAACGAAAAGGCACACTTAAAGGAAATAAATTACAAGGAATCATAAAATATATGAGTTGACGTTTTTAAATGTAGATTCACATATCAAATAAAGACAGACTATGCGAGAACAGAGCCTGAACGTTGTAGATTATCTGGTTAATAAACAAAATAATGCCAATGATTGGGTTATAGTAGTACCCAAAAATTGAGGAAACAGATTGAGACCTGTTCGTTTGATGTCAACTGGTCTGCGTGGATGACTAGAGTTTAGGAACCAAAACCACAAGCTTCGTCAGAACAAATGTCATGTAGAGGTTAGTCATTTTTTATGAGAAGGTTTTCCGAAAAGGAACTAAACGCTAAGTTTAAACACTACATAAGCCAAATTAAGTTCTAAACAGGCGAGTCTCTTCCAGAAACGGTAGCGGCCGTAAGCATTCATGGGCTTCATAGAATAGGACAAAATGTAGATTCCGAAAGCGAAAAAATTAGCTGCCTCTGAAAAGTTAATTTGCTTCTGACTATGAAAGGAAGACAATTCTGGGAAATTCACACATGCTGACTGCACTCGGATATGTGCGGATCCCAGACTAGTTGACCTTATGGAGAGACGATAAGTATATATAGATATAAGTAAACGTCGCCAGAATAGTGTATAAACTTTGTAGTGTAGCGTCGAGTCGCGCTTGACTATGATCACCACTACAATAAGGTTACGTGCTAGTTAACCAATAAGATCCACGTAGGCCAATATCAAAAGGCAGATGATGGCTGTAGTCGAGACTTATTTACCGGCGATCTCTTGGTATCGAAAGAATACCGAGATCGTGCCAGATTACAAGTGGGGTTACTGAGCGTAACCAAATTCGTACAAGGTCAAAGTCAACGTGAGGAGTACTGGAGAATAATGAAAGAGCACTATGGCTGTCATTAGCACAGTTAAGCAAACGAGCACAGTAAAACAATCACTGGTAGAATTGGTTATAATAATGATTGTTTCCATTAAACCATTGACGTTCTGTTGACAAAAGTAGGTCACTACAACTTCATGCCCAAGGGTTTTCACGTTGCAAACGTTTGGAGCTGAACTATTCCCAAACAACTCTAAGTGGTACGGAAATGTTCTACACAGAATTCAAGCCTACTGAATAAAATGGCGAGGCTTATAAACATGGTTCGCGTCAGAAGCTCATGATAGTGAAATTCGGTTGCTTAGTTTTTAAGTTGCAGGGTTGATCGACCAAACTGTAGAGGTGGTGGGGTTTTCCCTCACATGAAAGGCACCTTTAACATACTTGCTGTCGAGACCGTAGCACATGAATAGAAGACATGTGAACCGTATCGCTGTCGGCTGAAATACGAACTATAAGACATTGGGTTAATACTATGCAGAAGCTCTGAATGTGTGGTGTATGATGTCTTCATGAATAATCTTAAATCCTGGTCAAATGGGAGTAAAAGCCTTATTGTCGGTGACCCTATATACCTTTATAAATTGGTGAAATATATAAATAGGGTCATCAGAAACGTCGTTTGATTGCAAATCATTGGAAACCACAATCATACTAGCTTCATTCCAGCACATTGGAGCTTCCATTGGATATCACCTACATACACCTCGCACGTCTTGAACGTAGTCTGTATACACAGTGATGTCAGTAGATCAAGTCTCTCACGCTCACAGGAAGAAGAAATCATGTGGTCTACATATTCAATTTCATGGCTAAGATGATCTGTCAAACGGTTGGGCTGGTCAGTCCCAACATATGGAAGGGGAGTATGGAGGAGATCAACCCTTCAGCTTCGACTGAAAACTGGAAAACTGACTCCAGTGCACCAGTGTGAGGCGTACTGACTCATTTCCGGCAGGTACGAATTAAATAACTCAACCATTTATACGATGGACAGTCTCAAAGAAGAAGAAGCACACCCATCTCAAGATAAATCGGGATATTTGACGTTTGTCAAGATAAAAGAAGATATGTTGCAACGCCGTCATCGGCTTTGGCACAACAAACACGATGGAACACCACAAGTCCATCGGGATTAAGTGTAAGAGCACAATCCGGATAGCTCAGCAATAATATGAAAAGCAGTTGGTCTAATTTGTAATCAAGCATCCGAAGAGACTGTTTTCACACAAAAAATTACAGATCAAGAATGCATCTTTGGATTCTCAACCTAAAGAAGTGGAACTGGAACTATAGGGAAAGATCAGGACAAAGCAGAAGCCATAACAAACTACTCCAAGGTGGCTTTCATTCAGAAGCAGCTTCTAGATGAAGGAATAGAGCCCAATGCAAAGTCACGAAATTGGCTGCTTACTGTAGACTTCGATCAAGAGGATGCACTAAATGTCAAGGTGAGTTATCTACGAACTGGAAGAACTCAATTGTCGCTTCAACAAATAAAACATAATCAAGGCAACCTCCATCAAACTACATATCTGTCAGCTTCACCAGTGTTGTAGTTAAAATACCGGAAATAACATTCAGAAAGGCCGTGATGACATTCATGGAAACTGACAACGTGTCAGACAGAGAACAACATGGTTTCAGGAAAGGATTATCTTGCACGACAAACCACGTTATAGCAATAGAGTAATAGACAGAGACTCTAGATAGTGGAAATTAGTAGATGTTATCTACTTAGATTTCAGCAGAGTATTCGATAAGGTGTTGGTAAAAGTCTACTCTTGATGCTGGGGAATCTAGGATTTGCTTGACCTCTCCAAAAATGGATTAAGGATTCCTTGGTAGGTCGTGGACAGAAAATAAGAGTAAATTTTATATGTTGCTCCGGGAAATCAGTGTTTAGTGTAGTATTGCAAGGCTCTGTCGTAGGTCCTTTACTTTTTATACTGTATGCAAATGAACTCTCGTGAACGGTTGCGTCCCCGGTGCTACTATAAGCTCATGGTGTATAAATTTGGCGAGAAATAACGGGAGACGGATGTGCATGTGCACTTTAGGCAGATTTAAATGTTCTAACTAGGTGGTCTGAAGAATGGCTATTACCTATCAACGCGTCTAAGTGTGTCCACATGCACATTGAGAATACAAATGCAAATAGGTACAGTATTAGGGAAGAATCTGTTTCCGTAGTCTGATTTCACAATAATCTCGGGGTGACAGTTATTCATGATCTGAATACCACGGTCCACTCCTCAGCTTTGAGGTTCAGAATCCTATTGACTTTAAGAAGTTTATTTACCACAACCTTGCACAACGTTGATGAAATCCAAACTTCAGACCTAGTTCAGATCGCAAGTCTCTGTTTAAATTGTGACTCTGACAACTCGTAAAAAGTATAGAGGGCAGCTACCCATACAATTTGGGAACTCTTGAATTCACCATACAAATAGCGGCTTGAAAAGCTAGACCTCTTTACACTGTCCAACCGCAGATAAAGAGGCCATCTGATTTTTATGTGTAGAATACTTAGGAATGGTTTTGAACGTGGTCAGTCGTCCCTTTTTCTTCCCACCGGGTCGGGACAATTCGGAGGTCATATCAGGAGAGTATGAAAGCCATGAACGAACAAAATACCGGTAGCGTACAGGTTTTCACATCGAGTCAATAATTCTTGGATCCTGTTATTTGAAAAAGTGGTATTTGTCTTTTCAATTAATTCATTCAAGAGAATACTAGATGCTCTCAGAAGCTTGCTAGAAAAGGACTAACACAGGTAGTAGGTCTTCTGTCCTCAACACACAAATTTGAATGTAAAATGCTGTTTGACCGAACCCAGTTAGGTAATAGTGTCAGTTGAAACAAATAAAGTTAGGATTAAGGTTGGATGACTATTAAGCTGTTGGT